GATAACTCCCATTAAACAATTTATTAATGCCTAAATTAACTTCATATGTTTGATTTTATTATTCTGGTGCCTGCAGTTTGTATTACGTACATGAAAAACGCCTTCCAGCAGCCGCGAACAGTAGTGGAAAACCATGAAGAGGCGATCGGGCCATAGACTACAGTTAAACAGGATTCCCAGGCACATAGCCCCGCCAGTGTATCTGGGTCTCAGTGGCTCCAACTGCGAAATAACATTTGAAGGCAAGATCTAAATCTGGATGAACTTACTGCACATATGAAGTTTTCAGGTGGACTTTCTCACCTAAAAACATATTAAAACTACTTTTACCCTCTGATTACAGAAAATATAGCTGCCATTGTTACAGGCATAGAAAGGATAGGGTAGCTCCGCCCAACGTACCTCAGACCCACTTTTCGACCGTGCAGCTAGAGCAGTAAAAATGCTACAGCTGCTCGTCAGAACTAAACTTGTACAAGCATCAAAAATGAAGCAGCGCGCGTGTTTTTGCTGCTTCTGATGAGTGTGGTCTGAACGTAGCATAGCTCTCGAATCAGCGCTCTCCCCCATGATTGTGTAGCCTACAGAGCAAGACTGAGAGATGTTTGAAAAACCTTTGCAGGGGTGTTTAGTTAATTAGCTCATGGTATGGCACATGGTGTCTTCAGTATTGGACCTTTTACTATATTCTAATTTTATAAAATACTAAATTGAAGGTTTTTATTAGTAGTCATTTATAATTATCAAAATGAAACGAACTAAACATAAAATGTATCAGTCTGTGTGTAATGAATGAACATAATGTAAAACTTTAAATTTTTGAATGAAATTACGGAACAAAATAAACTTTTTCATGCTTTTACTGTAAATAACTGTATGTGCTCCTTTTGACCTCAATATAGTCTAAGAGTTCATCTGCTTAATGTTTTTTTTTTCTAGACAGAGTGATTTATGGAGTTTGGTTAATGTTACCTTCTCCTTGTCCTCACTTCTATTCATTGACTACCCGTGTATTTTAGACTTAATTTTAAAATTCTATTGTCCTTCTTCAATGTTTTAAACATCCTTGCCGCAACATACGTAGTCTTGTAGAAATTTTTTTTCACTGTAAGCATTATGGAATTATATTCTGTTCTCTATATACTCAAGAGTCAGATTTTCCTGAGTTCCCAGGCTTAAGCATAAATGCTTGATGAAATCAGCACTCTGACCATGAAAGAGTGAGCCTCCAGAGCAACAATGAACATATTATTTGTCCTATTCTTTGGTGGTCTACTAAAATAGAACACCAATCTCGTTTTGCTAATAGTATTTAGCTGACACAAGAAATAACATATTCCATGATTCACTGACTTGCACTGACCAATGGAGGTGAGTTTTTGCACTTCATTTGGTGCAGGTTCACTTCACTCTGAGTCTTCCAGACCTAAGACTAGTAAAAAGGGGAGTGGTGACCTAATGTTTAGGGCATAGAGCTTGGAATCCTGAGGTTGTAAGTTTGAAACGCACTCCATCAGACTGCCACTCTGGGTCCCTGAGCAAAGACCCCTTAGTCCACACTGCTCTCTGGGTGCCCTACGATGGCAGCCAACTGCTCCACAAGGGGATGGGTTAAATGCAGATAGTGAATTTCGTTGTCCTGTACTTGAGACAAAGTAATGGAAATAAAAAACGCTGAAAAAAATAAAAATAAAAAAAGAATAAAAAGAATCTTCTGGGTGGGCCGGATCATTCCAAAACTATTTAGCTCGTTGGAGGTGAGACATGTGTAGAAATCCTCTAGGGGTGGCAGTGGAGAGCCACAGAGGTGGTTTTTCCTTAGAGTCAGAGCAGCACTGTACATCTATTGGTCAGGATGTTCTCTCTTGTACATTTATACTATTTTTACACAGAGATTAAGGTTTGTTTTTTTCCTTCTCTGCGTTCTCATTAAGATAAAATGTTGCTCTGCCTTTTCATTAATGTGGATGGTGTTTACAATAGAGCCCTGGTCCTCTTTAGTGCAGTTAGGTAAATTTAAATGTTTGTGAATAGCTCTATCTCTTCTCGTTAATTTTCAGCTATAAATGTAGTGTGGTCCTTGACTTACAGAAAGCTATAATTTCTTGTGTGTTCTTGGTCTGGTGCTCACGGCCCCCATGGCTTAGACCTCCACCCTTAAGTTTAAGAAATTAGTAAATTCTGCAGCATTTGGTATTGTGTTTATTTTGATTTTCTTGTAAGCTCTTTTCTATATGTATAGTAAGCTAATAGCTGCATTTTGTGTGCAAGGATCTGTCAAACTTTCTCAGTTTCTTTGGGCAAATCAGGATACAGCAGTTGACCACAAAATGTTTTATTTTTCCAGGGTGTTTTTATATGTCCAGTTGTTGTGGTGATCTTAACCTCAGTGTCTAACTCCCAGCTTTAACCTCTGACATTTGCAAAGATCTCTTCAAGCCTGTTTTTTTTTCTCTCTTTGACATCTAAGTAAACATCTTGCATTGGTCCTGTAGCACCACTAGATGTGTTCATTGGAAGATCAGTACATCATAGGTATCTGTTGAAATGTGTGTAGAGTTTTTGTCATAGAAACTCAGAATATAGTTCTGATGGGATAAAATTCAGACTATATAAAATCTTCAGTTTGTGTAATAGTAGTTCCTTAAACCTTTGTTGCTGTGGCACAACCTGACTCTCTGGGAAGCTCAAAATAAAAATATCTTTAGCTGTCAAAATATATAAAGGTTAGAACTTCAAAGCATATCTCTGACGGACTTATGGTGAGAAAAATCAGGCTTGTCGCTCCTGACCAGATGAACTCATTCAGAGGAATTCAGAATCAACAGCAGCTGTATTTCTGACGTTTTGATGGTCTTGGCAACAGTGCTTTGACTTTACACATCATTTACTATAGTGCTTTTCACATTTTGTTATGTGAAAACTACAAACTTCAATGTATTTTATTAGAATTTGATGTGATAGATCAGGGTTCTGTAAGCCTTTTTTTTCAAAGCGTCCCTTTTTATTCTGTTGCAACAATATAAAATATGCCAAGAGCCACAATAAAGATGTTTTTAATTATTAAAAGCCTCGAAAAATACACCAATATTTTCCTACATTGTTATTAAAATAGAAATAGTAATAGAAGAAAATGTAAAATTATAATTCAAGCCTTACAAGAATCCTTACAAAAAATCGTTATTTTTTAGCATGAGACAAGCTGAGTGGTCTTTCTTAAATATAAAGGAGGCAGAACAATGGTTAGCCAATCTGCAAATATAAAACATCTAGTTAAAGCTAAAAACATAAAATGACTTTTAAAATCTTGTACCCCTTTTGTTTTTGATATTCTTTGCAGATATAAAATAGAAACATATAAAGCTGTTCTTATTGCCTTTTAGAATTAAAATAATTTCTTATTCAGTGTCATTACAGCTACACTGAAGGGGCAAAAAAAAAAGCCACATGTGGCTGTGGAACTGCAGGTTTTCATAAGTCCAAAAATTAAAAAGTGCATTTGTATTAAGCACAATTTTTGTAATGAAATAAGCAAACTAAGAATGATGGATTGAGCTCAAATATGGAAATTCTGGAAGAGAAAATTTTTAGGGCAGCAAAAGACTGTGGCAAAGGCAGTGAAGTTAAACACCCAGCGTTTCAATGGAAAAATTCAGACCAACATATATTAATGTTTTGCAATCGCTGAACCTAAATCATTGACATTCTGATGTTCTCAGACACTTAGCATCCAGTTTTACTGAGATTGAGCTGTATATAGGAAGATAAAATATGTCTGGATGTGCTAAGCTGCGCCAGTACTGTACACAAATGTAACCCCTGTGTAATTAGGTGACTTCTAAAGGCAGTCATTTACATTGAGTTTAAGTTATGGCTATAAGGGTAAATTTTCTTCTTTTGATAGGTTTTTATTTGTAAAATCTATTTAATTATTTAGCTTGCATTGTACAGTCAAAAGCTATTTTTTGTTGGTCTATCATTAACAATAATATGAACTGAAAAGTAATTAAATTAACCAATTTTTACTAAACTAAATGTTAAAATCTTTTAGAGGTATTAAGGATTTTGCAAGCCACTGCCGACAAATGATAACATCAATTCATAAAATGACACATTTTCCAGACATGTATAACATTTTCAGTAGTTTTATTGAAAAATGCCTCTTCCGTTTCAGAAATAAATAAGAAAATACGGCTGTGTGTAAATTCACAAAATGTGCAGTTGAAACAGTTGAAAAATGCAATCCTATATCCATAGTTTTGCCACCAAATCCAAACTGCCTTGACAGAAAAAAAAAAAAAAAAAAAAAAAACTATATTCTGACCACAGTAAATATACAACATAATCATGCAATTTAACATTTGGTAACAAAATAAAGAAACAGATTTAAATTGTTACAGTTAGTCAAACTATCTTGTTGTTTACAGGCAACAAAAATAGCACAATACTGAATTTGTGTGGCATTAAATCATTTGCTTGAAACCATTAAAGGGTCTGAAACTGCTTAACATCTTGAAATTGGACTGAATCAATATGGACATTTTGTTACTGTCTACAAAACACGCATACTGAACTACTTTGTGGGTTTTTTGAGATGCTTGGTGCTTTACAAACTGGAGTCTGATGAACACTTGCAGATATATTACATGCAGACATAAAAGGGGAGAAAAACACTTAGCAAGCACACAGGTTTGTAACAAAACTTTCTATTCATCTCGCTATATTTTTTGTGTCAAAAAAGAAAAAATATATATATATTTATAATATATATGTTCAACAGATCCAGAGGTATCAAACCTCATGTAAGTATTAGTTTGTTCTGGGTATCCTCAATAAATCGTTCGGTGATTATTAATTCTGCAAACTCTTGTTTGTAGCTATGATGCCAGTCTTCCTGTATTGCCTGATTGTAGTGATCTCTGCCTTCGCTGGGCTCTGGAGTCACCGCGTGACTGTATTGTCTCAAATGCTCCGACTGGCTCCACAGGTATAGATTCTACCTCAGGTGCAGGCTGGTAACGGATGTCTAAAAGAACATTTGGCCATTTTAAAACAAATACAATTTCAACAAGGGGTGGCTTCAACAATGTTTGGCAAGAGTTACACTGTGGAGTTAACAAATATCCTTATTGAATATAGAAATGATTGCTTCCTAGAGTAGAAGAACATCTGAAAATAAAAACAGCTTTAAATTCATTTTTGAATTCTTACAGTAAAGTCCAACATGTTTTTTTTTTATCATATAGTGGTAAAATAACCAGCTTATACCACTCCGAAAATATTAACTGGCAGGAAAAAGAAAACATTTCGCTGAGTTGACCAATGCTACAAATATGAAGATATTCAAAAGAAAAAAATGAAACATGCTTTAGTCTGAAACGGAGCTCCAAAGGTCACTAAAGCGTCATAATCAAAGGGTTATGCTCATAGTAAGTAAGCAGAGGGTTATGAGGCTCAAGCTCAATGAAAAGGTTAACGTGATTTTTGTTCCCTTATTTTATTAGTAAAATGTCCCGATTCAGTCACTTAAAAAGCAAAAAAAAAAAAAAAAAGGTTTATTTACACCTTTGTATTAATATATGATGTCCTCTTTGTTAGTAGCTGCGTTGGCTTGTGTTTGTACATGCTGCGTCCTTCGTAGAAAATATTCAGTCTCTGTTGCTTTGTTTATTCATTTCCCATCAGTTTGTGGATTAATATGCAAACAGGCCAGCGGGTTGCCATCCCTGTAGCTTGTAGCTGTGACATCATGTTAGTGCCAGCACACTCCATTTTCTCACTTTTTTTCCTTCTGTCATGTTAAATATGTCCATGGTGATTATTCTTACAAGCTCCAAAGCAACTGGGCATCTCAGAATGTAAATGGCACAGAGGACTTAGGAGAAAGGGTACTATGCCAAACCTGAAAACAGTTCAGAAAGGGTGTGGGTTATCAGCATCCCGATTAATGCAATGCAAGTTATCATACATCATCAACACATTGCTTACATGCAACTTTTTAAAACTGAACATCAAATGTATGGAGGCATTAAAATGTTGCATTTCACAAGGGTTCCCCCCACTATCTCCAAACCAGCTGTTGTGAAAATCTGCAAAGCTAGCCTGCCAACGTTTACATCAGAAATGGTATTAAAACATTTTGTGCTGTACACAGAAATGCAGTAAGTGTGGGTTTTTTAAGGAAGACTGTTTATTCCAGCCTTAAGTAAGACATGAGTGTTTCCCTTTAGGGGGTGCTAAAGAAAGACATCCATTGTCAAGAGTATCATTCTATCCTGAATGCTTGTTGAAATGAATTTACACTCTACCATATGCAAGTAATATATCTTAAAACAGGCTATAGTCCCAAAATGTGTAGTTATTGACTGTCTAAAGCTGTGAACCACATAAGAGTTTCTCTACCATGGCATTTTGGTATAAGAACCATAACTTTAAGTGAAGGTATTGGTGGTTGTACAGTTTTTATCTATCTATCTGACAGAGATAAGACAGAATTTAACAAAATAACAGCTTATTATTTACATAAACATGAATATTACTTTGGTATCTTAGCTAATTTAGCTGACAATATAAAATGTTTTACTCTCTAAAATCCCTTCCTTTTATGTTTTCTGTGACCTCCTCTTCATACTTTGATACTCATATAACTTAATAATAACATTTAAGTTCAAAGCAGAGCACCCGTTTTTTTGAAGTGGATATTTTTTTTATGAAATCATCTAATTGATCATAGTGTTCGCATGGGGACATCAGTATCCTTGATCACTATTTTGGACTAAGCTCACCAGGTTGTAGCATCTCTTCCACTATGTTTTAAGGCTTAATTCTGGGGATAAATCTCACAATATAATTGAATGCTGTATTCATCTTTGAAAGAAGTAAAAAGTCTGAAAGGTAACTTAACACTGAGTAAGGAAATTTATATGGGCAAAAGTTTTTTTTGGAAGGACATTAACAATCACAGACAGTAATTCCTGGAGTTGTAGAATGACAAACAAAAAAAACAACTTAATTCAACTAATTTAGTTTTATTTCACTCCTAACTAATCATACTTTCATTTTCTAATCATAGACTTTTTGAGTTATTCTTCAAATTATGACTAATGATAACTTTTTTTCAGTCTGAACACTTTCAGATGTAATTCATGACTGAGAAAAACAATCAATGCCATTTTTAGTAATGTATCGTACGTGCTTAGTTAGCTGGAGAGAAATAGGCCAGTTTTTGTTTCTCTCACAAATTCGTGCTATTTTGTCTTGCCATAAAGTACATGAATCAAATTCTGCTCTTCGTTTTTTTTAGCAGTTTATTTTTTGAGTTTGAATTTAATCTGAAAGCGCTCTAAAATCTTTAGAGAGGCTTCAGATAATTTTCTCAGACATGTAACCAAAAATGAATTACAGCACTTTCCTCTAGACAAATGTTTGGGAGATGTTTGTCACTCCGCTTCCTGTGGATCCATTAATCATTCAGACATTAAATTGACTTACAAACTAGAAATGAATGTCAAATCTAAATGTGAGACAACTTGCAGAGAAAGAAACTTAAGATCTTAGCATATTTTAATCATTTGTGCTTGTCACAAACATATTTTATTTTCATATGTTTGCCTTAATCAAATAAAAATGTCAGATAAGCATAAGAGTCACAAACCACAGTCTGTAAGCAGCTAAATCAGTTGCAAAAAGCTTTGGGTTTAAGTTTGGAATACAGTAAAAACATCTGTTGATATTATTCCTCCTATTTCTTAAAGAGGAAACTTAAAAAGAAAGGAGGAATGAAAATCACCTAAAAAGGATAAGCACCCCAGAGTCCTTTGGAGGAAGGTAAGATAGGGGTGGTCTAAATTTATTGCACAATACTGTTTATTAAATCGATTTCCTCTTTAGCAAAGATCTTCGTAGGAAATCCACTTTAGTGGTGTTGTTTAATAGTTGGACGTTTGTTTTGGTTTTTATAAAGCAGATCTGTAGCACTCTCAATATTCTGTGAAGGTTCTTCTACCAGACATATTTATCCTACTCCATAAGGCTGGATCTGGAATGGGTTTAACTTAACTAAATTAGGAACCTGTACATAAAGACGTCCATACATCATCAGAGAAGTGCAGCAATAAGTTCCAAATGTCATTAGTGTGCCATCTTTTTCTATTTTCTCAAGCCAAACCATGCAGGACTTATATATATATATATATCTATACCTGTGTATCCTTGTCCATTGTAAGGAATGCCAACACACTGAGAGGAGTCACAGTATCCAGGGGGTCCTGGTGGTCCCCTCACACCTGGAACACCTTGACGGCCTGGGGGCCCACGAGGCCCAGACGAGCCAGAAGGACCTGGAGGACCTGTTCTAGATTCTCCTGGTGGCCCTGAAACAGAGAGTGAGGCCCGTTTAGGAAAGGAAGTCCCTCTGGGGTTCTACTGACATCACCTATGAGCTTTCTGTGGAAACAGTAGGGGTTACGGATCCACAGCTTCCACTTTTCAACTGCTTAATTAGAGAATTTGGCTAAGAAAAAACAGAAGAGAGCAGGCAGGGGCTGAGTGGAGTTACCCCCAGCCCGTCTGTCTAGACAGAACAAACTCAAGATGGAATTTTCTCCCCCTTTTCCCCTCTCCTCTAAGTGAGTCCATGTGTTGTCAATGAAGCCACCAAAGAAAGCTCATTCTACAACAATCTGAAACTCCCACACACACAACTGAGTCATCAGTGTGGACTTCCTCCCACTGGTCCATGGTGTTTTCTCACTTCATTCAGAAACAGTCTTCTGTGTTTGCTTTTCAGGGACAGACATAAATAAAAGGTTTCTGTTGCTTCCAAAAACATTCTAAGAAGATGTTTCTACAACAGCTTCTAAGCTTTGAGTAAGAACGGACAGACGAAGTCCATGTAGTTTAAATCAGAACCTCTTGTCAAAACCACCAGGATTTACTACAGAAAGTCGAATGGGAATGTGGAAGTATGATATAGATACGGCATAAACGCTTGAAGAAAAAAAAAAACATGGGAATTACGTAGTGGAGCTACCCAAAATAAAGTGTTGAATTATGTGTACAGTCTTAGTGCGAATAAAATACAGCAGAAGATGTTTTATATTACTGACTGGCTGCCGGAGGATAGAATTAAGTGCAGACGTTTAATCTGATTTGGTGAACTTGGCCCTGTGAAATGTTTTAGTTAGAAATGGCATTCTTGTACAGAAAAAAGGAGAATAATGATGACTGTATTACCTGGAGGTCCAGTTGGGCCTCTTTGTCCTCTAATATCATTTCCTGGAGGTCCTCTTTCTCCTTTCTCCCCTGGTAATCCTGCAAAAAATACTGTATTAAACTCAAACTTCTTTATCATACTATGACCTCCATGAACAATGGAAGCTGCAGCATCATGCCAGGGAGATGAAGATTTAGCATTATTTTTTTAAAGATTATAAATGACTTACAAACATTTGTTGCACAAGATATTTTTTTTTTGTAAGTAGTCTAGCATTGCAATCAATATATCCTGATGACAACAGAAGTTCACCTCTTTCTCCTTGATTTCCGGGTAATCCAGGGCTTCCGGGGAATCCAGATCTCCCGGGCTGCCCGGGTTCTCCTCGGGGTCCGGCGTTTCCAGGGGGCCCCGGAAGACCGGGAGGCCCAGGGGTGTTGCTGCGATATCCGGAGGGAATCTGGTTAAGCATCGAATTAACTCTGCTCATCTGGCCTGCAACAAAAGCACAAGTTCAGATGGATTTAATCAGATTTTCATGGTCAAGGATAGTTAAACTGTCAGAGGCTTGAGAGATTGTTTTGCTCACTGTTCACAAGCTGTTCACAAACTTGTCTGGCAATGGAACGCATCATGTTTTGGGATGCAAAGTCTCCCTAGAAAACCAAGACAGTTTAATGAGGACGAGCATTTATGATTTTTTTTAAGTAATATATAAAATGTTGAGTGCATTACATGCCTTTTCGCCCTTTTCTCCTTTAATGCCAGCAGGTCCCTGGTGAATAACACAATTAGGACAAATTAAGTTTCAAACCTTTTTTTATGTTGTACAATTTAATCTCTGTATTCAGTACTCACTGGGCTTCCTGGGTCTCCTGGTTTGCCTGGTTTGCCAGTAATTCCTGGTACACCTGGATTCCCAGGGCTTCCCTAAACAGTGAAAATCAAATGAAAACCACGAATCACCTAGATTTAAAGGCAGCATTCAACCTCTGCTCCCAGTTAATAGTAGTATAACAGGGATTGAGTTGGGATTTGTGTTCTGATAGCTGCAGTGGGGAAAACTGGCAGCCAAGAACAACGCAGTACATGGAAGTGCGTGTACACCAACCATCACACTAATGGCTCCTGTGGTACTCTGGATGCTATAGACCATATGTGCTCTGTTAACATGATGGCTGGATTAAGCAGATTCAGACCCCAAGAAACCGCAGCAAAAGGGAAAATGTGAGATGCATGCATCATTCTCCCAACAGTGGGGGAGCCAGTCTGTTTTTTATGTGCTGTTCCAGCAGAGTGGAAATATGGGGCCAGAGCAGCAGATTCCTAATTATTTTATTTTTTCAAAATATACAGAATCGGTAAAATAAAACATTTAGCAATATTTATTTGGCATACGTAGACACTTACCATGGGCCCTGGAGGGCCTCTAGGTCCAGATGGCCCCTCCTTTCCTGGTGGCCCCTTTTGAAGAAACAACATGCCGTCACATGTGAGTTACAGCTCCTTGGGGATTATGTTGGTTTAATACATCAATGTCATGATGTAAGTTTGGTTTTGCCTTAACTGTACTTTTTTAGATTAAGCAGTAGCACTTTTACAAACTAAAACAAATGTAAATGCAGTAAAACACCAAACCCATATTCTGACTTAGAACCCCCATGCAAACCATGATGTAAATCCACTTAGGGGCTTCTGACTTCGTTTATCGAGTATCCAAATGTGGAAATCTTACCCGGGCTCCATGTTGTCCCATAGGACCTGAAGGACCGCGTGGCCCAGGAGGACCCTGGGAAAAAAGACAAACACTTCATCATGATTTGATCATTAAAACCTTTCAACATTTTTGTAGCTCCCTTATGCCTCTAAACTCTTTATATATAAACTGAAAGATGTTTTTACTTTTGTTTTTATTAAGCCAATGATAACATATCATTTTTGCTTGTAAAAACTAGAATAAGTCTCCAGGGTTTAATTAAGTTTATTTCTCTTCTATGATAAACTGCATTCACTTAAACTGCTAATAAGATGCTGCCAGTATGAACATGGAACACAGAATGGGACCTTTGGCCAAATTTGTTCATTTCAAGTCCAAGCAATGGTGAAAGACGGACCAGCTGAGTGCTGGTAGTTAAATAAATGATATCAGCTGGTATGAAGAAAAAAAACACAACCTTAGACGCATTATTTTAAACCACTGCAAATTGGATTCAATGTTAAATGCCAACTGAAGTATAAATTGTGAACTATGGTTGTTGTCAAGCTTAATGTTTCTTCACAAGGTAAAACTACTGGATGAAAACCGAACTCCTTAATGTCAATTAAAGCTTTTTTAATTCATGACCTTCTTCACTTACAAGGATGTTCCATTGCCAATTGTTAGGATAATTATCATTAATGATGCATGAGTTAATTACACCAGCTAATTTTAGCTGCCTGTTGCATATCAGAAATTATGTTTTCCACAATAGTTTATCTAATTAGGCCAGCTTCTCTGTCTGGATATACAGTACAGTTATAATCTTCATTCTGTACGTGGCAAATATTTGGGAATGCAATGAGAGTGGTGTCCTTCAGCTAAGAACGAAGTGTAATATTTTGATAAGGCTGCAGCCATGGATGTCTACTCATCTGCTAACGTGTATGATGTAAAATGTGAGGGTGTGGCAGACTGGAGATGTATAAAATGCCTTTTTAACTGTTAATCGGGGCCACTGCCGCAGAGGTGAGCGGCTGCCTTCTGTAAACTCTAAGCAAATTCTCTGATCTGAGTAAGATTACAATCTCTATCAAAATCTGTTTTCATGTCTCATGGTTATTCAATACTTGTAAGTTAGAAAGTGTTATGTAAAGAGTTTGTCCCTAGAGATCTCTTTTCAGGAAAAAGAACCGGAGAGATAGAGCTCCAAGGTGCATACTTTTGCATCTTTAACACCATAGAAACATGAATCTAGTCTTTGTATTCATTTCAGCATTGCTTTCTCTTGGAGCATTTGTCACTCAAGAGGACTATTAAGGAGGATGGATTCTCCCTAAAGGTAGGCCTGATAAAGCCACAAAACTCTATGTGGTTTCAACCTGATTGTCGAACTGAACTTTGAGAATCAACACTGCTTCCTATGAAGAGTTTCTAGTTTCCCCATCATTAACCACAAATGACTGAAAAGTCTTACTTGCAGACCAGGCATGCCTTGATCCCCGCGATCTCCCTTAGGTCCTGGGCGACCCTGAGGAAGTAGGAAGAGGAAAAGAGAGGACTGCAGTCAGCTCTTTATTCTTCGCTTTGCCCATTCATTTCCTCTGTATTTGTGATTGATGGCATATTTTAACTAAAAAAGTTTAAAAAATAACAAAGCTCTCAGGGTTTCTGGCTGGAAGAAGAAGGGAGTGTGATGTGTTTTGACATCAGTTATAAATCTCACTCAGCGCTGATGCGCAGAAGAAATCAGGCTTTCTAACCATTCAGAAGGTAGATGGTGATTGCAAAGGGAGCAATTAAAAGAATAAACGTTCCTGCTAACATGAGTTATCTGCATAAAATATCTTACAGGTTCTCCAGGTCGAGAAAGTCCTGCAGGGCCTTGTGGACCTGGTGGTCCCATCGCTCCTGGAAGACCTGGATCACCACGTGGACCCATTGGACCCTAAAACACAAGGTGTCAGAAAACAAAAAAAATTGGAAGGAGGATAGAGTAATATTTAATTAGCCCTGCATCTTTAATGACAGACATTTCATTATTCAACAATGTAAACGGACCTTCAAAATATTTGACAAGGGTTTCATTAAAGTCCATCATTGGAAAATATTTACTTTGAGACTTATATAGACTGTTTACCTTTTATCTAATTGCTGCTTCCAGACAGTGCATTGCAAAACTACCAATACCTCAAAAACTTTTATAGGTTCGTTACCATAAACCTCAAAATGCTCTATCGTAATTTTATACTATTGTCAAACAAAAAGTTGTGCATTATTCTAAAGTAGATGGAAAATGATAAACGATCTAAATAACGTTACTCTTATTAAAGCTGTAAGTGTTATGGAGTTTGTCTTTTTACAACTTTGCATGTGTAAAAACTGGAATGTTTGCTCATTCATCTTTTTAAAATGTGTCAGTTTTAGTTAGATTCAACAGAAATATAAAAGATTTTTTAAGTCTTACCCAAATTTAACAAAAATATTTAAGCGTTGTACATTTTAACACAAGGAATACAGTTTGAACTAAATCATTCCACTGCTTTGGCTGTATTTTGGGGGGTTTATCCTTTACATGTAGAAGAAAAAGACTGATTCAAATCTCATCTGAGCACATTTCTTACATGTTTTTTTATGTTGTACATCTTTTGGTGACTCTTAACAATTCAACATCTTTGCCACACTTCTGTAAGGCAGGATCCATCCATCCATTTTTCGTCATGATTTCCCAAGCGAGGGGTGCTGGTGATCTCCAGCTGTCTACAGGCGGGAGGTGGAGTACGCCCTCAACAGGTCCCAGTCCATTGCAGGACGTAAGGCAAGATGATATTTAAATTTCTTGCTATGGCATAATACACCTTTTTACTTCTTTTCTTTCTTATGCTCTGTAACCTTAAGAATTTTGGGCAAAGTAATTTGTGTTTAATGTGTGCATCTGCTGCCAGGTGACTGTTGAACACGCTAAATATTATACTATCCTTTGTATTTACACTTCCAAACATTTGTAATATAATAGCCAATAACTATTAAACCCCAAACCTCCCTTTGTAATAAGAATATTGTACAAACTGATATTGTTATGAGAGTATATTTGCTTTTACTCCTCAGTAAAGTCCAGAGAGGATGTATGTACTGCACACCTAACGGTCCTGTTGACATATCTCTGCAGTTCCTCCCACAGGTGGATTTTATTTATTTATTAGATTACCTTGAAAGAGTATTAATGCTTTTGCACGGAACTGAATGAAAGGCTTTCACAACAGTAGTATGGTACACAGCAATTGTAGCTGCTAGTAACAAACTTCAGTATGGTTTGCGTGATGTAAAGTTGGACTCACAGGGTTTCCGGTTGTTCCTCTATCTCCTCGAGGTCCTTTAGAACCTGGGCTACCCTGAAAAAAGTGAAGTTCCAGAAGCACAAAGTGAGTGTAACACCAGAACCTAATTGTAAAGACCTAAACCCGAAAGCATTAAGAATTCCCTGCTGGGCTTAAGTAAGTTTACTCAGCACACATATTCAAGTGGGAATGCTTATGCATTCCCACTTATTGTTTTTCTGTTTCTCTTTATCAAGTGGGAATGCTTATGCATTCCCACTTATTGTTTTTCTGTTTTTCTTTATTATTATTATTATTATTTTTCCGTACGTTTTTGGTCGTTAAACTACTTCAACAGTTTTCAGCCGACTTAAACAAATTTGGTATCAAAACGTTCAGCTCGTTCAGGAGACCTCTGCTATATCTTTTGGTAAAGATATTTCTTGTAGTTTTCGCGATATTCAGCTTTTTCTGCGATTTTTGGCCCCATTGAAATGCATGTAGAATTCTCAGATTTAAGCAAAATTCAGCTAAAACTTTAACATCTTTGACCTTTAACTACTTCAGCATACTTTCACCTAGAAACACCATTCAACTTTTAAAATGTTTCTGTATCTTTCTGCTATTACTGTTTAACTCAGCTTTTTGCTAACTTTTACAGTTTTACTTCAGTGAAGCTTCAAACTTGAAAAGAAATTTTAACGATTTTCAGATTTATAATGGAAGTCTATGGACGGAATTCTTCAACTGCCAGAGTGCGTGCTCTAGCTTTTGAGCTGTTCTGGTT